TTCTTCTCTGCGGCTCCTGGTCTAAGGCGGCCCGCTTCGCTCCTTCGCGGTGCCCTCGAGGGCAAACCGGGAGGCGCCCCTTCAGTGTCGGAAATATTCCTGGAGGAAAGGAAGCGGGAGTTTCCCGCAGTGCCCTCCCCACATTTCCCTCCATCCCTCCCCAGCTGGTCACTGGCTGGTGTGTATGCTCTTGCACTACAGGTCCCATAACCCCCGACCCTCCCCCCCCCGTGCACGCTATTGGGGTGCAGTAAGGCACCCCCAGAGGTCCGGTGTTAAAAACCCAGCCCTATGTTCTCCGTCCCAGCAACAACGATTTCTGGGAATCTGGATTCGGCTGGAAATCCAGATGGACAGTGATGGAACCTGGAGCGTTTCATTTTCTAAATCATTCATTTTTCATTAAAACTTTGTTTCCTCCCCTAAACGAAACAGGGTTAAAGCTTGGTGTAATAACTTTAGGGAGTCACAGACTATGCTTTGGCTTCTTCATATAGAGGTGACAAAAGCTGGATTTTTTCTCCCCATTGGCTTTACTGAGTGTGAACTCAAACCTTCCATCTCCTTTTAGACCCACCTTAGACCCCTCAAAAGAAAAATCAGGAAGCCCTGTTTCTTTATCCCATCAGGAGATCTATTGGAAACATAGTCATCTTCCTCTTTAGATAGCTTCACCCAGTGTCTACCCTTAGTTCCTCCCTGGGTGTTTCTGCATGCGGGTGAAGGAAGTCTGTGGGAACAGGGATTCCATTAACCTCAGCTGATTAAGCTAAATGTGCCCTTGAGGCCAGTCGGAAAGAACAGCAAAACAAAGTTTGGCTGTTTTCTGTTTTGTCTTATCTGTGTGAAACAATCTGCGTCTCCTTTCCTATCCAGATATCAGTCGGCTTGTGCAAGATTGTGGCAGAGTCATTTCTTCATCTGAGTTTTGAGTTCATGTGCTATTTTAAAGAAAGCCAGTTAGATAATTTCTGAACTGTCTTAGTCTGTCTATATAGTATTGAAGGCATAGCAGAACTGGGGGGATGACCTAAATATTTTATTTACCCTTTTTTTTTGTTATTGATAGCAATCTTTACAATTTTTCTCAGATAGCTGCCTATGCACTAATTTGAGAACAGAAAGGATGTGGACAAGGGTGCAGATGTTGTACAGAAAGGTTTATAAAAGAGATAAAATAGGCAGTTTTGAATTCTTAGCCTTGCCTTTTCTCATTGTCATCAGCTTTGTATATATCCTACAATGAGTTGGTTTCCTCAAGAGCATGGTGTCCTTAATGTGACACATACTGTGGGTCTTCCTTATGTGATTACTCAGATTGTGATAACAACAATTAGGGCTCACTTACTCTTCCGAGGTATTTGCAGAACATTTAGTTACTTTTTTCACCTTGTCTCTTCCATAATTTGCAGCTATCCAAAATTAATCTCTGTAACCATCAAAGTTAAAAATTGTGCTCTTAATGAGTTCAGAAATTGCAAAAGGTATAAAGCACCCTTACTTCCTCTATAATGTGCAGAAGCTGCTTGGTCCTTTTAGCCATTGAGTTGTACAGATCCTGGTGTATGTTGCGCACAATGCCTGAAGTCATGGCTCTGTTTCTATAGATGGTCAGTGCCTTTTGATGGTACTGTCAAGTGGCATGTTGAATGTTTATTGTTTTGAAACAAGGTGTGCGGAAGATGACTAAAATACAGTATACCTCCAGTTAACAGGATGTAGGCAGAAAGCTTCTGCCCCCTCTAGCTTTGTTTGCACCACAAAAGCTTTGGTGCCTGGAGAGATTTATAGAATTGAGAGCAAACTTGAAAGTCATTTAGACCAGCCTCTGCTTCATGCAGGATCTGCAGTGCAGGATGTAACTACAGTACAGCATCCCTATCAGACGATCACGACCTCTATTTAAACAACTGCAGGACAAAGGAAAGGCTACCATCTTCCGGATCCCATCTGCTTCCTGCAGTTTCTACCATGTCGGTTCTCCTTCTGCCATCTGAAGTGGTAAAAGACACGTTTGCTCTGGCTTGTGTGGGATACTTGAAGACTGATACAGTATAGTTCCTGTCTCTAGTCCTCTTTTTTCCAGGCAGAGCATAATCAGCTTTTTTATTACTGTTTTTCAGATTTGGCTTTCAGACCCTTCTCCTCATTATTTGGACACGTGGAGTCAATCTTTTGGATTTCATTCTCCACTGACCACTATATTATTCAGTTTGATAATCTGGCTTTTAAACACAGTCAACAGCAGAAGTGTAATCCAAAACCTGCAAGCTAAGACTGATCTCTAGTCACATTTTGTGAGTGCGACGATCCACTTGTGATCTCTTAAAGACACTTAAGATTCCCTTCCATATGTGCCACTGGTATGCCAGCTTTCCCCCTGTCTCTTATAGGCTTTTGATCATTTTTGTTGCAGCTGTTTTAGACCTTAAATGCAGAACTTTACGTTTTTTTTAATCTTGGCAGTTTTGCACGAGTGCTTGAGCTTGTCAAGACTGTTTTGAAATCTTGATTCTGTCTTTGATGTCCCTTTCAGGTCCATACCATCTGTCATTTTGATCAGTGTCTTCTCTCTGCCATGCCCTCAACAAAGTCAAAAATGTTGAAAAGCAACTGGCCATGAGCCCCACCTCACTTTGGGTCAGGACCTGCCTCCAGGCTGATGCATTTAGGAATACTGTACCTACTGGTTAGGCTCGTTCAACCAGATTATCCACCAAAAAGTAATATCATTGGGTCCAGAGGACGTTTTGTGAAATTGTTTGCTGAAGTTTATATATGTGACAGGGGTTGTAGTCTAACAGTGAAAGTTCATGTAGTCCCCACCCCTGAATAAATCAAAAGCATTCTTATGCTTTAGCTACAAACCAGTATGGAAGCTGCATATGTTTAGTTTAGGAAAAAAGTGAAAGGCAGACGTGATAGCAGTTTTCAGGTGTCTTTCACAGGCCAATATAAACTTGTTCTTTATTATTCCAGAGGGCAACTCAAACTAGAATTGGTCTGCTATTATTTATATATATATGCAGTATATACAAGGACATCTGCAAGCGGGATCTGAAAGCCTTAGGAATGGATTTCACCAGATGGGAAATCCTGACATCTGAGCATTCAGCCTGGAGGCAGACAATGCATCACGGCCTCTCCCATTTTGAAGAGACCCTTGCCCAGCAGGCCAAGGCAAAGAGGCAGTCCCGAAACCAGCAAAATCAGGGAGCTGGACAGGAGACAGATTGTATTTGTGTTCAGTGTGGAAGGGATTGTCACTCTCGAATTGGCCTTCTCAGCCACACTAGACGCTGTTCCAAGTCCTCGATACAGAGCATGTTACCATAGTCTGTCGAGACTGAAGTGTGTGTGTGTGTGTGTGTTGCTTACTAGTAAGCAGTCTACTTTTTCTGCATCTGCCATTTTCTTTTTTTTCTGAAGATATGGACAGCGTTTGTCCAGGTGCATTTTCCTGGTTGCTTTTCCAGTTGGGAAAAAACCTCAAAAGATTAGAGACAGCTGTTCAGAAATGACGCTGACTGGCCTCTTCAACATCCTGATCTGTCGTTTATCTTGATGGTGACTTCAGTTCATCTAATGTAGCCAGGTGTTCCTTAACCATCTCCTTTCTCATCCTACTGGATGTGCACTGCCCATATTTGCAGATGCTCACTTTTCCTTTAAAAAAATGATAAAGGAGGACACAGCCTGCAAGCAGATGCTGAGTGCTTAGTTTTTTTCCATTTACTGCTGTGTGGACATGTGATTGGGGGCAGAGGGGAATCAGACATCTATAGCCAAGCATTCCTGTCTTCTCTGGCAATACACATAATATGTGTTCTTTGTAGCATGGTATTGTGCACCCAAGCACAGAGTATTTGCCAAGCAGAAATCCTTTCTTATAATATAATGATTCAGGACTTCTTTTCTTCCCAGAAGAAAAACGATAAATTGGAAAATCCAGTGGAACTATTCTTGTCACTTTGGAAATTGCCTCCTGAACTCTTATTTCCTTTATACTGGTCACCTGCAGCCGCGCATCTGAGAGGTGGCTGGGTTTTTTTTTCACTGTGGTATTACTGTAATTAATTTAATTTTTTCCATGTGTAGGTCAAACTGTACCGCTTCTGGTTGCATGTCTCAGAATATTACCTGTGCTGTAGTTTTGGCTGCTTGCGAGTGAACGCTTTCCAGTTATGCTGGCAGGCACAGTGAATCTGAACGGGGCTAATTGAATCCAGGGACTTTTAAGTAATTCCCCATGTGGCTGAGATGTGTGCATCTCTGAGATGCCAAGAGGCAGCACTGCAGACAGCAAAAGTGGGTAATAGCCTTGACCGTTCTGATGCAGAAGGAGTTGGAGTAGTGAGAGGTGGCACTTAACTGAACATAATTGGAGCCAGTCATTAGGTGTTTGCCTGGAGGATAAGCAAATAGGAGTTTGAGAAGCACTGATATTATGGAGTCTGACTTATTTTATGTAAAGTAGACTGTGGGATCTCTATAGCTGCCATTATAATAGTGGGGTGGCTGAAATGGCTTTAGTGGAAGTCCATGTGTATTCTATATTTCT